GAGGAGCATTCTGCTTACCAAGTGGCTTTGGGTTAGGAGAAGAACCAGTGGGTTTGGGTAGGTATTTATCCCAAACAGCATGGAAATTCAGCAATGGTCATATCCTTCAGGAAGAATCACAATGCAAAATCAATGTGTATAAATTTTCCAGATTCTTAGCTGCAAAGAGCACATTTCTTCAGAATAAATACAGCTCAGGCAGCAGCCAGGCAAGCTTCCCAGGCTGTCTTGCCAGCACACTTCACCCTTAAGCTGCTGAGAACATCTGGAGGACATAGAGGTAGATCAGTCCAGCTTTGCAGTCTTTGCTGAAGACCGCCAGGAAGGGTAAAATCCAGAGCTGATGCCAATCTGGGGAGTGTCCCTCATGCAGGGCTTGCCTGTTGGGACTGGGAAAAGGTACATCTTCAAGAAAGTCTTTAAAGAAACATGAAGAACTGGAAAAAAAGAGATCTACTGCCTGATGAGACTGTGGAGATGGCTGAAATATTCCGTTTTCTTTGTATCAGTCTCCATTGAGATGTTCAGAAGAAACATAAAGAGAAATTAGTATAAATCAGAATCAGGAGAAACTGCTTAAAGCATACTTAGATTCAAGTTTGCAGAACTTGCTGATGTTTGTGTATGCTTAATAACTAAGGTAAATTTATAGACTTTTAGTAATTATGTCTAAGAATTCATGGAGGACAAGAAAGTTAGAGAAAGCAAAACATATACCCTATTTTTAAAGTCAAATAAAGAAATTTCCCTTTTGTCCTCAGAAATAATTTGTTACAAGTTATCAAAAAGTGGAGAAAGTTCATTGGCATGAATTGTGGAAAGCAAATCTTGTAACACCAGTCTATTTTTCCTTTTTTGTGTCTGATTTTCACTCTTATTTCTAAGTGGGAAAAGGGGGAGGAGAATGTACAATCTTCCTTTCATTTTTCAACACTAGCTTCTATGAAATTCACATAAAAAGGTTGAGGAAAAAAGGCTCTAGGTGGAATCTCTTGTAACATGGTTACTGACAATAATTCCTCTCAAAGGCTGCTCTGAATGATTTGCTCCTTAACAGTAATTACAAGTGTGGTTCTGAGGCATCTGGGATGAAACCAACTCAGTTCAATATTCCATTAATAATTGGAGACCTACTGTTAAATAACAAAATAAAATTTGCTGATGCCCATATGCCACTATCCATAGGGAGTTTAAAAAGTCTTCGAGAAACAGACTGCTTCATAATAAAAATTTTGTACTAAAGCAATTAACCTGATAAAATTCACCAAGGTGCAGAGTGCTCAGTTGTGCACAGAGAAATCAGGTGCCCAATCTAAAATGTGAGATAACTGTTCAGAATCCAAACTGACCATGGGGTGCAAATCTGATATATTACAAAAAGTCAAAAAATTTGTTCTGTGAACATTATTGGTAAATGTTGAAAGAATGTTATCATTTTTATCTGTTCTACCTACCCCCCCCCTCCCCCCACCTTCATAATATCTCCAGTTTGGACGCTGTAAATAGACATGGAAGGATCCAGAAGAGAAGTGCAGAGAAATGCTGTGTGGCATAAACTACAGGAATCAATATTTAATCCTAAAAAGATAAATGAGGATCCCATGTAGCAGACACTGATTTTATGCTTGCAATTACCTCTGGCCTCACCTTGGTGTATCCTCAATATGTGGGTATATATAAGATCCTCTTTGAAAATCACTGGATTTAGAAAAGATGGAGATAACTCCACAAATCTAAAAAATTATTCCACAGTAGAAAAGTTGAGGGAGAAAGCATGTTTGAATGCCTGGACAAAGAGAAAACATACATCAGGCTTTCCTCCCATATCAGCCATAAGAAAATCTACATCATGGAGGGAAAGAAAGGGAAGGTTATCAAGGTTTAACTGCAGGAAAAAAACAAGAACTGTACCTTACTGACACATGAGGAAGCACTCCTCAGCCAAGTTTTTCTCTTTCATATGAATTTCCAGACACGAGTGTAAAGTCTAATTGAAGCTTTTCTTGAAGAGTGTTGACAACATTTCTCTTCCTTGCTTTCTCATCTAATCAGAGCTAGGGTTGTGCTGCAAAGACAGTATAATTCATCTGTACATCAGTCAGCCACAAGACACAAAAGCAGGGAACACAATTAACCCACTGCTCCTGCAACTGTTCATTATACCTCTGGTCTCACCCTTTTTGATGTAGATTTCAGAGTGCCTAACTTTGCAAACTTGTTTCTCTCCCCTCCTTCAGCCACATAACCAAGATGCTAGCCTTTTTTTTTTAAGCTTTCTCAAGTTATTTGCACATAACATTTTATAAGAAAAGAAAATATCAAATCAACTACAATATTTTATAATGAAAGAAAATACCAAATGAGCTATGTGCTGGCTACAAAGAAAAAAAAATTCAAATTCACAGAAATACAGAAAAGGTTACAGTAATACAAAGATAGTTCCTGCATAGTGACCAGTGAAAACAGAATGAAGGCAAACAGCTAGGGGAAAATGTGACATTAACTTAACCTTTTTACATATTAAACTCTGTATTAAAATCTTTCTGTCTTTCTGCTCTGGTGTGCAGAAGATTTTATTTGAAGGACTGTACATTCTCTATGCAGCTTTCAGTACTAATTTTAAAAGGTATTCATCAAGGAGTGTTAAAAAACACCTCTTTCATTTGATCTAATCTCTCATGACATGCTAACAAGAACATTTTAAATACCTTCTGCAAAATATGGTCTACCCAGGCAATGTAGCACAAAAAAAAAGAGCTGTCCTTAAGCCTTCTGAAAATATGACTTCACTTTTACAGGATTCCTATGAGGTTTAATTGTTTCATGACATTTAGAAGGAGGTTTTCCCAAAATCATTGAATTTTGTCTGTATTTGACCTAACTAATACCCTTATGGAGATGCTACAAATCTGTCTTCTGTCTGTATTACAGTAGTGGTAACACAGATTTTATCTTTTTGCTCCAAGTGTATGCACCAACTGCATTCTCCAAAAGTCAGGGGGATGCAGAGAGCCCTGTATGGCCAGACCTGGGGGAGATCTCACCATGAGACAGAGAGCACCTGTTTTGTTTGTCAGTGTGGCCTGAAGACCATCAGAAATATTTCAGATTTTGCACTGAATGGTACAACCAAATGATTTTTTATAAGAGAGAAAATTGGCTCAGGAAAAAAATTTGCACTGCAAAAATAATCCTGCAAAAAAAAATTCTGATATTTTTTCCCCCACTGTTAATTCTGCAGCATTTACAAAGTGTGATAGCAAGGCTAATAGGTTTTATTTGGATCAATGGCTTTTTAGTTATGCAAAGTACTGGCACAGATCGCATACAGGATCCTGGGAGGATGCAGCTCCTATCGACAAAGTATGAATTCTATTAATTCCTATTGAGATACACTGCCACAGTACTTCTATTAGCATTCTGTCTCTGAGCAAGAGTGAGGACCAGGTAACTTCTTGACATCTTTCCCAATTTTCTTTGATGTTAGGAATTGTGTTGACATTTCATATTGTGCACATTTATTTGGTAAATACTATATTTCAAACTCAGGAAAGAAGGAAAACCTCTGAAGGATTACACTTTAAGCTGACAGAAGCACAATTGTAGCAAAGAAAACATACAAAACAGAAGATATTTCAATGTCCAAGGCCAGCTAAGAGCTGGTTTTGTTAAGATAGTCATATAAGAGGGAAAGAAAGTGCACGTCACCTTGAAGTCTGTATAATCTCCGCTCTAGGATGTGTAGGCATTGTTGTTGTAGTGTCATGAGGAAGCTGTAGGCACACACTGAGGCAGGTAAGATCCTGCTGAACTAATGTGCTCCTCTGGCACTGACAAATGAGTGTGCTGACCCACTCAGCTCTCACCCTCATGCCCTACTCTTGGCTGCCCATCACCTGAACCTGCGCCTCTACCAGAACCAGGAGATCATCCCTCCTTCTGGGTGTCACTGAGGCTGTCCTTCCAAGGGGGCTGAGAGGCTTCTGCAAGACACGAATTCCAAAGGCTGTGGTGCTGCCAACAGGAGGCTCATGTGTCACCTCGCTGTGTTGCTTGCTCAAGGCTCTCTCAAAGGGGTATCTCAACAGGCTGTGCAGCGCTGCTCCCTGCATGTGCTCTCTGCTGCACTGACGAGGCACAGCAGAAGGCAGCTGGTCCCCTACCAAAGGAGAAGGTTTCCACGTGGAAAGCCAGCCAAAACCAAAACATGCAGGCTGGAAGCAAAATCAGGGAAATAATGGTGGATGGGAGATGCAGACATCAGTGGCACATTTAACTGCTGTAGAAATAGAGCAGAAAAACAATAATGAAGCCAACTCTGACTGGAAAGCTGGCCAGGAGGTGAGTGGCACAAATCCATAATCAGAACCCTGGAGTCAGCTGCTCTAACTAGACAGTTCAGCCACAGGCTGTGCTTACTCCCAGCAAAAAGATCCTGTGGTAAATAGTTCAAAGCATGCTCTTTGAACTCCAGCAAACCTCCTTGTCCTGTGTCATAGCACTAACCTTCCTTTGTTTAATAGTGTGCTTCATAACGACTCGTAATTTGGTGTGAAACTTTACTACCAAGGTTTGGAAATTCAAATGATGGGAATTTATATTTGTGCTTTGAACCTCTTTTCCCTATGAAAACAGCAAGTGGGACAAAGTTCTCAGGCTCACACAAAACTGCATGTTACAGAGTAGTACAGATAATGTTCCAGTGATTCCACCATATCAAGCAATTCAATAAAGCCTCTTACACACAGAAGATGTGAGCAAGTTACAAAGGCATTACGCTGATTTCAGCAGAAGACAAGCAGCATTTGATACACCATATTCAGAATCCACTTTGGAGGTTATTTGATCTGCCAGTAATATTCCTCACATAGACAGGAACAAATTTACCTTGATGTGTCTGTCTGTCATTCAAGTAACCTGTGATCCATTGAATATGTCTCTTCCTGAAACACTCATTTCACTGCAATTCTGTCTGACTCAATATTCTTCTTACCTGACAGGTAGGAGATCAAATAATTGAAATCAATGGAGAAAGCACAAGGGACATGACACATGCCAGAGCAATAGAGCTAATCAAGTCTGGTGGCAGGAGAGTGCGACTGTTGTTGAAACGTGGAACAGGCCAGGTCCCAGAATATGGTGGGTTTTCATCTTTACATTTTGATATGTGCATGACTCTATATAAATTAATAATATTGCTTTTGACTTAAGTAGCAGTTGCAGATATTTATATATTATAATTTCTTGGAGCACATTAAGTATTGTAAGTGCTTACCTGTGTAGAGGTGGACATACTCACATGTGTGTACGTCTCTGTCATCTGCTGCCCTCCCGACACAGGCAGTGGTTTTTAAGATGTGCATTTGAGGAAGCACTACAAACCTCTGAGGGGACATCTCTGAGTGTGCTGGGAGTTGCTGATTTGTCCATAAACTCTCCTTTTCTTCCTTTATTGGAATTTCTTCCTTATTGGTACTTCTCTGCACATTTCGAGTCACAGCAGATGATCTTGTTGCCATGCAATTGAGTGGCTCAGGCTGAAACTAAGGATTATCAAGAATGTACTCCTTTCTTTGACTACTTCACCCATTGTATTCTCTCTGATAAAATACAGGGCTGATCAATTAGAAGCCAATTCTGAATTTAAAACATGAGATTTTGCTCATTGTGGTGAGAAAACAGGATCTATTCTTCTTATATTTTGTTTCAGAGGGACTTCTGGGACATTTTAAGTATTTCAAAAAGTGTGAGTCATTCAGACAATATAGAAACCTTATTTCATAACTGAAATGACAAAAAAATAAAAATAAATTATCTGAAGGTAATTTCAAAGACAAAGAGTTTTTTTGAAAACTTAAATCAGGGCTTACTTTATAGCATGGTGTAACAATTTCCTATATTTATGTAAGTTCTATGATGTGCACCTCTGGGCCTTAAATCTCTTAGGAGAAGGGCTATTTTTTTAATGAAAATTCCTTAACTTCTTTATGCTAGGAAGTCCAAAACTCTATTAAACTCTTTTAGTTTTGAAGTTCCAGGATGCTTTCCCATTAGAATCAGAAATTACAATCACATAAAAATTCGAATACTTAGGCTAAACTATAGGTTCAGGTGAGCCTTTGTTGCCAACATAAATTCAATACCTCTGTCAAAGTCAGCTGCAGTGAAAGTCAGTTCTTTCCCACCTGTCAATACACATGGTAATTGCACTGTTTTCTTCTCTAAACTAGAGCTAATTCTATGGCTAAGCCAATACTCAGGACAGTGTATGCTGCATTTTTTACAACTTTCAAGAGCTTCTGAATAAAGGCAGAAAAGATGGGCCATAACCCACCCATCTGGTAATAAAATTAATGATTTATACTTTTGGTGAGTAGAAGCAAAGCAGAAATGGCTTTCAGGGGCTCTGATAAAATGATACTAAGATATTGAATATCAATTTTAACTAGTGTGCAATCCTTTCAGAGAGACCTCCAACAGAAATTCAGGTCACCTCCAAAACTGTTTTATGGGGAGAGGTGCATCATTTTTAATGAAAGAACAAACAAATGTCCAGGACTGATATAGTGGTAGTAATCCTTCTCAAACAGCAGAACTATATACCACCAGTTCTCTGGTTCCTCAGAAAACAATTTGATCTAAGGAAGGTCCAGGAGGCTATGAGGAGCAAAGAATCAGCTGCGGTTCAGACCTGTTTCAGATCTGAATTTCTTAATGTCCCAGTTCCAAACGGCACTTAAATCCAAAATAAATTTCAATTATTTATATAACCTTATAAAATTTTACATTATTCCTGTAGAAAATAAAAATAAAACAAAATTTTAAAAAATAAATTTAAACAAACAAACAAAACAAAAAAAAAAAAAAAAAAGAAAAAAAACAACAATTTCCATGTAAGTATCATTGAATTAGGAAAACAAATCTCCCAAAATGTGCACAAGTCTTCCCTTCTACAGAAGATGATGAGTAGAAAATACATATAAACTAGTAGAAATCCAGACACAGCTTTTAGTGCTAACAGAAAGCAACAAGGTGACTTCACAGTGTTGTTTAAAGCCAAGGTCGCCATTTGGGAAGGCATTTGGAATACTTAGCATTAGTTGTTTATAAATGCAGATTACTGAGAAATAAAAGTTGCTACCAGGAAGTGCTGTTTAATCAGACCATTTTCCAAGCTGCATCTCCAGCTCACAGCTCCATACAGGAGGAGAAGTAGCTGTGCTTGAAAGCCCCTTTTTCGTACTGCACTGAAAAAAGAGTAAAAGTGTTCAGGAGTTACTTCATAGTGTACATACAACCTGCAGAAAGCATCACAGCAAAGGAAAACATCTGCACATCTGCAGTTCTTCGTCTGTGCTTTATGCAGGCAGAGAAGTGTTAGAATTGTATCCAGTCTGGAGGCAGAATGGAAGCAAAATAAGACGCCTTTTGAAATTGACTGAAATAATTTATGTCCTCCCTAGGCCATTTGCCAAAGGTGTAAGAAGTAGTCTAAGAAGAAGCAGAAGGTGCACCTAAATTCCAACAGCAGCCTGCCTAGGAAGTTAAATCAGAAATTAACAGAACCAATTAAAATGGGAGGCCACATCTCAAGGAGGCCAAATCTCAAGGTTAAGTCATCATGCTGCGAAGAACATCTGTCAGAGAACCCCAGAAACATCTTTTCCAAATAATGTAAAACTGAATGCAGGGAAGATTGTGACAGTAGGCTTGAAGACAAAGTGGTCCTGAGGACAGCAGATAAACTAGTCAGTATTTAGTAGCTCCCTTTTCCTTCAACCAGAATTCCACAGCTGAGATGTAATGAGACTAATTGGAGTTCTTTTTCCTGAAATAATCAGGGGTTTTTTTTTAAGCAAGTACATGTCAGAAATATTTCTTATACTCATCAGGGTCCAGATGTGGAGAGCATCAGTGGGAAATAGTACTTAGTTGAGTATAAAAATGCAGGGCTGGAGGACAGAGTATTGGGACTGCAGTGGTGGTGTGCAGAAGAAGCCTTGGGATAAACAGAACAATAGCACAAGGGCACCAGAGTCCTCTCCTGGATATTGTCTCTCAGTCCCTGACAGGCAAAATGGCCAGGGACTTCCCAAGTCAGGTTTAGTAATGCTATGATTAAAGACCTTTCCAACAGCAGAAACACTCAGATTCACAGCAGTAAAAAGGAGAACATTTATCTAGAGCTACCTAAACCAGCCAGCCAGGACTATCAGCTTTCTGTCTTCAGTCTTCAGCTTCTTGACTTTCCTTGTGTTTTAAACTCCAGTGCAATGTTTCTGCTAGTACAAAGTATGGTGGTACGTACTTAAGTGCAAGAAATGTCAGTGTCCAAATGATGATGTGATTGACACCAGTAAAAGCTGTGTTAAGGAAAATTCATCAGTAATAAGAAAGTGATTTGTGAAAGAAAAGAATGTGCACTGAAAAGAAGAAAGCGCCTAGTGAAGAAAGCAAGAACGAAGCTGCTTTGAGGGTGTAAATGTCCTGAATGAGTTATGTCAGTTTATACTGCCTGGAAATCTGTCCATTTCCAATCTTGGAAAATTCTGGCTGAGCTGAAGCACTGTTCAAACCTAGGGTAAGAAATCATGTGCTGCAAATCCACCATTTACTTCCATTCTGGCTGCTGATTTTGCTTGAAAACAAATGCCAAAAATCACAGACTATTTCAGAGGCAGAAATCCCCTTGTAGTGCACACTACCATCAGAATGTAAGCAAAGGAGCTCAGATATGATTAATGCTTCAAAACAATAGCTGATTTCACAGCAGGGTGCAACAAAAGAAGTGTTGGAAACAGGTGTTTTATCACCCAGCATCTCAGAACATGTTTGCTGAGAATAAGGATAGCCTGAGGAACTGTGCTGCCACAGGAGGTGAATTATCACAGCTCATCCAAACCCAAAGAACATCAGCATCATGTTTCATAGGAAATAGTCTGCCAGCTGAGTTCTCCAGAGAACCAAGTCATACTAAGAAATCATATTAATGTGCAAGAAAGACTAGAAGTACTGCTGGGAATCCTGATCCCAAAAAGTACTTAATGCCTGGGAAGTCTAGCTGCAGAGAGTGTGAGGTTTCATTCATGTCACAGAACACAAAGCCCAGAGTCATCACTCCAGAACTGAGCACTTCCCCCACCAGCATTAAAAACAATTTGAATAAAGGGACAGATCAAGGCATTCATTGCAGTGGCTGCCTAATTTCCTGTGTGTACACCTAGCTAAGGGGTTACTGACTTCAGCAGGAGCTACTGGGTGTGCAGCAGTTCTAAAAATCTATCTGTTCACACTGTGGAAGCCTCGTTACAGATGCTCATGTAATCCAGGCTTTAGCCATAGCTGTAGAAACACCACGAGAAGGACAAGTACTTTGCATAGCCAAACACTGGGATGAAGCATCATCCTTAAAGGCAAAATGCAGGAAAACTGTTCACAAAATCCCAAAATGGTGAAGTTCAAGAGGAAGTAAAGCTGACAAATCAGTCTCTCTATTGAGCTGTGAGTTCTGCAAGAAGCAAGTTACCTCTAACGATTGATCAGCCCCAGAAAACTACATTTTTTTGTGGCAACACCTAGTCTTTTCTCTAGACGTCTTTAGAGGAAGTTCCCTAGGAAAGACTGTGGTGTTTCACTCTTAGTCCCAGAAGTCTTGGCAGCTTGTTTTTTCTGGCTTACTGCTCCTGGCCTTTCCTGACTGGAGATTTTATTACTCACAGTACATTAAAATATGTAAATTCATAGAAGTTTCTGAAAGCAATGAGTCTTATAATCAAATGACTGCCAACAGGGTGGAAAGGTGGAGAAGGCTGAGGCAGGTTAGCACCTATAGGTGGACTCCATCCCTCCAGCAAGCCATAACCCCCTGCCCCCATTGCTTTCTGTCTGGTAGAAATTGAATTTCACCTGTAAGGAGCATCTGGAATAAATTAATTTGTTTCTCTTCCTACTTTTAGGACTACAAAATCATCTGTCAGGTTTGATATAAGATTTCTATCAAGTTTCACTTATTTTTAAGTTGCTTAAGAGCTCCTGCGGGAAGTTATAAGTTTTAGAAACTCCAGCCCATTTACATGGAGAATTTGGACAATGTTTCCGTTGCCCTATCTTGGACATCTGGATCTGGTCCTGAGCATTCT